CTTACAAATAACTTCATTTCTGGACATTTATGGTTTGATTTCTTTGTATGTATGGATCACTTGGGTTGTTACCGACATCTGGTGAAAATTTCATGTCATTTGGACCTCTAGTAATATATTTACTGAGAAAAATGGTGATGTGTTCAATACTTATTTTACCCGCTGTACGTATTTGCTGCTGCTACTACACCTGAATTTCCCCACGCGGGACAATAAAGCCTGTTTCTATTCTATTCTATTCTATTCTATTCTATTCTTTTCTATTCTAAATTAATAATAAATACTAATAATCGTAACCAATCGAACTTCAATAGCACTTTTTAGGACACTCAAAGATTGTTGGTGGTGGTAAGCTACATTGTAGCCACATCTGCCCTGGGACATGCTGATAGAATCGGAGCTGCCATGCACCAAATCCAGTTAACGTCTAAAAAAATGGATTTTGCACAATCCCCTGTAACAAATCGACCCAAAGTACTTTTTAGTAAAATATTAGGCTTTTTTTTGCACACTTTCTTTAAATTGTTCAAGTGAATCAGCTATTTATGCAGATGTATGCAAGGAGTGGGTCTAATTTAAGCAAACAAGTATAGAATTTATTTATTTATTTATTTATTTATTTATATGCAGCTCTTTAGTTGATGACCTTTCAACTCATGATAATAGTTTGCTTAGTAGCACTTTTCCTAGTCACGATCAACACAAACTGCCAATAACTGTTTTTTAGGAGATGGTCCTGTCAGGTAAGAAAATCACAAATTCAGTGTTTGCAACCAAGACTACAGCTGAATCAGCACAAAGTAACAAACTTATTAGGAGACTAAACTCTGCCGCTACTAAAAAAATGTCTATTTTAGTTTGCCATAGTTTATTCCCTGAGCAAAACCACAAGGATTTGTGCTTAGAAAACAAAAACGCAGACTCAAGAAACCCTTAAGTCACAACAGGTCAGGACCAATTCACAGTAAAAAGCCTCCTCTGACTCATGAACTGTTTCACTCAGCTGATCTGTTTCTCTTACATCATCCCCTGCCTACCACAGATTTCTGGCTGAAGTTGTCAGGATGAAGAGACCGCTGAAGCTGCAAGTATCTTGTCTGCAGCTTTTGGGTGTCCACAGTGAATGTGTAGTCACTGCGAAAAAAGGAAACACAGGAGGAAATGTAATATCAGTGTTGTATAAAGTACCTCAAAGTGGTACTTGGGTAAAAGTACAAGTATCTTATCATAGAAATACTTTGGTAAAAGTTAAAGTCTTCTCTAAAAATATTACTTGAGTAAAAGTCTTCAAGTATCCGATACATTTTGTACTAAAAGTAAATTTCTGACACAAAATCTACTTAAGTATTAAAAGTAAAAGTACTGAGTAAAAGTGAGCAGTTCGATTTTCCAAAATGACATTTATTGGGAGGTGACTTCTCAAAAAAATATTTTTTCTAACGGTATGCAGCTGTGATGGGTTGTGTACAAGCTAATAGGGTGTTAGAATGCTATCAGGGCTATTCAACTGGCGGCCCGCGGGCCACATCTGGCCCGCAAGTGACCAAAGTTCGGCCCACCAATTGGTTCACTTATCTCTTAATCCCAAACCCCCTGTTTTCTACTTTAATTACTCTAGGTTATTTTAGTTGAACATAGACGTGTTTGGTGTCTACAGAAACGTCAGAATCTTGGCTACAAACGGGTAAAAACAATTTCTATGAATATCTAAGACAGTTAATACTAAAATAGGTTTAAAAATTTGGCAAGTCAGAGATGTCAAAAACATTTTGTGGTCAATAAGAGGCATAATATGTTTCTTTTTGTTTGTTTGTTTTATCATCACTACTTTTATTAAATAGGGTTCTGTATGTTTTCATGATTAAATACAGCAAAATAATTTCAAAGGTAACAGATCTTTGTAATATTTAATTTATTTACATAACTATAACTTTAACTGCTGTCTGTTCGGCCCCTGAGCTGTTGGTCTGCATTAAATGTGGCCCCCGGAGCAATTTAGTTGAATAGCCCTGCTGTATATTTATACTTCTCATCCAACCACAATTAAATTCACTCTATCCAGGAGACACAATTTATCAGGATAGTATTTTTTTAAGTAATAACAACTCGGAATAAAATAGGAGTAACGACTTTCTACTTCTTACCTTTTCAAAAAATGTAGTGAGTAGAAAGTACAGATAATTGTGTAAAAATGTAATGAGTAAAAGCAAAAAATACGCTGAAAAATAAGTACTCAAGTAAAGCACAGATACCCAAAAGTTCTACTTAAGTACTAACAAAGTGTTTGTACTTAGTTACATTACAACTCTGTGTAATATGCTGCTGTAAGGCTGACTGGGGTTGATATTAAAACGTTGTTTTACAGAAATTAAAAGTTATAAGACACTAACCAGTCCATGATGTTGAAGTAGGACGTTTTCTCCTCGGGTGGCTGGATTGTTTGACATGAACTGCAGAAGAATGAAGGCGTTTTGACAAGAAGTTGTTTACATTTCCAGCAGCTCGGCTTGACTTCACTTGTGCTGCAGCTCCTCGGCGAAAATATTTTATTATTGTAGTGAAATAATCCTCGTTCTTTCCCCAGTCCCCTGAAGTTTATATTACTGTGACAAGTGTCCTTCCTGTGGCAGCAAGTTGACACACTTGAGTGTCCTGTTCCAGCGTTTGGATCAGGCAGTCGGTTCTTCATCAGCCGGGGAGGGTTTACTACAGCTCGATGGAAACATCTAATCCGCAGACAGGAAACTGGAAACATACCTGGACAGAACAGAAACTCTCTGCGAACAGCTGCGATGTCAATAACTACATGAAATAGTCTCAAAACATGAACATTTGTTTCCACAGACAGCACAGACACGTTCTTCTTCTACGTTTGGAAATAAACGCCACAGCGCCACCCCTCGGCTGAGTGACGTAACGTCTCGGAGGATGCAGGGAAGGAAAAAAAACCTCAGCTAACTAGCTGCAGAAAACACATTTTTTAATTTGTAATTAACGTTAAACTCGGGTTCGAGTTGTATGCAGCTCACAGTTTGAGCACAGCAGCTGTTTAATGTGCCGGCGTCGCTGAAGTGCAGCGTTTGCTAACGATGCTAACTTCCGGCCGCAGCAAGTCAACATGTAGCTGAGTTAGCTTCTTAGCTAGTCTCCCAGTAGCGGTGTTTGCCGGAAAGAAAAGATGCTTGTGTTTCTGCTGGGAAAACAAGTAAGCTGACTTGATTCTAAATTATTGTTTCTGTTAGATACCGTAGACCTTCTTTCGTAAATCTAGTCTTTTTCAAATAGTTTCTAGAAAAAGTGCTGTAACTTTATGTTGAGTACTTTACTAATACAAAAATAATCACAAAAACATCTTATTATCATCATGGAGGTTTGATGGATAGTCGCTGCAAACTTATAAATAGTGTTCAGTCTGCAATTCACTATTGCAAGACAGTTCTGTAATTAAATTAATAATCCGTAAAGCAGATTGTGGTAAAGCAGTGCGTTTGTCTGCGGGGTTTCACTGAGAAATGTTTTATGCACAACATACAGAACAGTAGGAACCGCATTTTCATCTGCCAAATGTCTTTTTCTCCTTTCAGATCTCCCGTTGCACTGCATGACAATGAAAGAAGCAATGGCCCATGAAAAGTGTTGGATCCACAGAGAGTGGCTGGTCCATCATCATCAGGCACTGGAGCACAGATAACACCTCCGATCACTTGTGGGTGATTTAATTTCTGGGTGGACCCGGTGCTTCTGTCTCATCCATCCATCCAGACGGCTGCACTGGACATGGTGTTAGGTGTGTACAAGTTCCTCTGAACTGAAGCCAGGGTCACTTTGTTTGTTTGGCTGAAGATCAGACTAGGCGTCTCAACTTCTTGACTACAGTTTCCTAACAAAGTACAAGTTGTGATGAATGCTAGCTCTTGATTTCTCGCTGTGTGTGTGCGTTTTGGGGGCGGTGGGAGTGCTAAAAGTGACGGCAGAGTATTCCAGAGAGACAGTAGTTGGAGACAGAAGCATCCGTAAGGTAAACAGGATCTCCTCCTGAAGGTCAAGGGAGGTGCTTCTCAAGGCCCTCACAGACAATACTCTGGTTATTATTAAAGGAAACGACTAAGAATAGAGAGCAGGGGAACAAGGTAGCTCGTCTGGCGCTTCAGTTGTTTGGTTTGAACTAGCCAAAACGGAACATCATCTTTAGAAGAGAGACTTCTTTAGCTTGCGTGTTAGGTGTGTCGCAGTTGCACAAGGCAAAATGTCTGGATCTGTCGCTCATGGACAGCAGAGGTAAAGGGCTGTGGATCTTTTTTTTCCCTGTTTATAAATGGCGTTGTTGTGCTTTACAACTCAATTATGTAAGTAAAACTAATTCCTTGTTTGTTTAAAATATATGTCTTTGCTTTTGATTAAGCCTATGTTGTGTTTTGACAGTGAAGATATGTTTCTTGCATGTAAAATTTGCATTTAGGGAATTTATCTTCATTAGGAGAGAATTTAAAAGTTTCATAATGGGTTATGTAAGCTTATTTCCCTAGTTTGTTATCAGTTATGATGTAATCGCTACTTTTTTTTTTTAATTTTCCTATCAAAGACTAAAGGATTGATAGAAAGCTTGAAGTCTGGTTCAGGCAAAGCAAAAATAACATTTAATCCAGAAATAACTGCTTGTGATTTCTTAGAATTGTATCATTTTTATCTCATTGTAAGCTATAATCATCGTTGTATTTCTTTTAACAGAAAAGCTTGACAATAAGAAACCATTTCCTGACATAAAACACTCGAGTATAAAATGATAACTGCATTATTATTTTTTTGCATTCCAAGGATCATAAATGAAAACTGCACCATGAAAAAAAGGGACATTAGTGGGATATTTGCCTGCAGCTGTTTTTACAAATAACTTTTTTTGTTGCCATTTATATTTGGCTTAATTTCATAATGTGCCAGCAATAATCCTGCAGTGTTAAGGTAAGCATTTGAATTATTATATTACATTAATGGAGGGTCATTAAATTACAATCAGAAGGTTGCCGCCTTGAGAAAAACATTTGCTGGCGCTGATTCTCCGCTCAGGTGCCATTAAACCATAACAGGTGGATGAGATGTTACAAGAAAATGTTGCTGAGTGTGGTGGCACGATTTACCAAGAACTCAGAAACACGTTGGAATAAATGCACAGAAAGTCTGTGTGTATGGTCGTCAAATGATTTAATCTGAGCAACAACAGAACAGAAGTCAATCAGAGAAGTCTGTCAAGTTGTGGCTGGCTCGTCAGCGCAGAGCAGCCGATAATATAACATCCTGTGACATGCTTACAACCAATCACAGTTCGCCAACTGTGAACCATCTAACCAATGACAGGGCTATCAGCCCGGAAACACCTTTTCAAAATAAAAGAGGTCACATTGCTGGAGTCTTGAAGTCTGGGCCGATGGAGTAAAACAGCCGAAACTAGTTATCATGAGATACAACGGGTAAAATAAGTATTGAACACGTCAACATTTTTCTCAGTAAATATATTACTAGAGGTGCTAATGACATGAAATTTTCACCAGATGTCGGTAACAACCCAAGTGATCCATACATACAAAGAAATCAAACCACAAATGTCCAGAAATGAAGTTATTTGTAATAATGTGGAATGGCACAGGGAAAAAGTATTGAACACACTTAATGAAATTTATCTAATACTTTGTACAAAAGCCTTTGTTGTCAATGACAGCTTCAAGACGCCTCCTGTATGGAGAAACTAGTGGCATGCATTGCTCAGGTGTGATTTTGGCCCATTCTTCCACACAAACAGTCTTCAAATCTTGAAGGTTTCGTGGACCTCTTCTATGAACTCTGATCTTTAGTTCTTTCCATGGATTTTCTGTTGGATTCAGGTCAGGTGATTGGCTGGGCCATTCCAGCAGCTTTAGTTTCTTTCTCTGAAACCAACTGAGAGTTTCCTTGGCTTTGTGTTTGGGCTCATTGTCTTGCTGAAATGTCCAGCCACGTTTCATCTTCATCATCCTGGTAGATGGAAGCAGATTTTTATCAAGAATGTCTCTGTACATTTTTCCACTCATCATTCCTTCAATTATTTGAAGTTTGCCAGTACCATATGCTGAAAAACAGCCCCACACCATGAAGTTCCCACCTCCAAACTTCACTTTTGGTATGGTGTTTTTGGGCTGATGTGCAGTGCCATTTGACCTCCAAACATGATGTGTATTCTGGCATCCAAACAGTTCAATGTTGGTCTCATCTGACCAGACTATATTCTCCCAGTATTTCACAGGCTTGTCTAAATGTTGTGCAGCAAACTTTAAAGGAGCTTCAACATGCTGTTTCTTCAGCAGTGGAGTCTTGCGTGGTGAGCGTGCATACAGGCCATGGTGGTTCAGTGCATTACTTATTGTTTTCTTTGAAACAATCATACCTGCTAATTCCAGGTCTTTCTGAAGCTCTCCACAAGTGGTCCTTGGCTCTTGGACAACTCTTCTGATAATTCTTTTCACTCCTCTGTCAGAAATCTTGTGAGGAGCACCTGGTCGTGGTCGGTTTATGGTGAAATAATGTTCTTTCCACTTCTGAATTATGGCCCCAACAGTGCTCACTGGAACCTTCAGAAGTTCAGACATTCTTCTGTAACCGATGCCATCATTATGCTTTGCAACAATAAGGTTGTGAAGTTCTTGAGAGAGCTCTTTACTTTTACCCATCATCAGATGGTTCTTGTGTGATACCTGGCCATCATTTGGGACTGAACCAGCTGATATTAACTTGCACTGACAAGGGGCAGGCTTGTTTTCTAATTACTGAGAGAGTTCAGCTGGTGTCTTGGCTTTCCATGCCTTTTTACACCTCCCTTTCTTCATGTGTTCAATACTTTTTCCCTGTGCCATTCCACATTATTACAAATAACTTCATTTCTGGACATTTATGGTTTGATTTCTTTGTATGTATGGATCACTTGGGTTGTTACCGACATCTGGTGAAAATTTCATGTCATTAGCGCCTCTAGTAATATATTTACTGAGAAAAATGGTGACGTGTTCAATACTTATTTTACCCGCTYTGTGATTACTGGACAGTGTGAAGGTAGAACAGTTATACATAATTAATCCATAACACTGAGAGTCCCAGTGTGACCTCAAAATGTGTAAAACTAGATGGAAATAATAAAAACATACATAATTTTTTATTATTTCACAATGACTTGCGTGGCAATACAAAGTAATGAGGCTTTGTTCAAGTAATCATAATCAGGTAATCGTTTAATGACCGTGAGGAACAAAATGATGAATCTGGTTAATATCTGGTATCAGCATCATTACCACAAGGTCAATTGTCATATTAAAGTAGCTACAGGCAAGTGTTCTTTGGAAGTTTTTATTGTGTTGATTTTAGACACTGTCAGCATTAAAACCAAATTCAGAAAAAAAGCTTTTTCTCCTCAGTTCTGCCATTTAAAAGCTTAAAACTTTCAGGCACTGAAGCTTCACTACAGTGTTGTTATAGTTAACTAAAACTAACTAAATAATGAAAACTAAAATAAAAAAAACATTTTAGTTAAATGAAATAAATAAAAACAAACTAAATGAAAAAGATAATAACTAACTGAGACTGTATAATCCTTTTACAAAACTAGCTGAAATTATCGACAGAATATTCTTAGTTTTAGTTTTTGTCAATTTATTTTAAGCTGTGTGGACTGATTAAACAATTATTTATTTTTTAAATCGAGCATATTATCTTAGCTGCAGGCCGTTTAGCAACAACACTTCATGGTCCATAACGTCTTTTGTTTACAATCTGCTGCTGCTCAGCGCTTGTCTGCCCTGTCCTACTGGCTAAATATTGCATTAGTGTGACAAATACAACTTCAAACCTCTTCAAGTATATTAATCAACAATTATTGCACATGAAGAATCATTTGTGGTATGAATATTGCACACACTGACACTGTGATGACAATATATTCGTTAAGTTGTGTAATCCTATTGGACTCGAGATATTTTGTAAGGTGGTTTGCGCTCCTCACCATCTTTCCAAGAAAAGATCCAATAGCATTTTGTGAATGCTTTGCAGTGTAGTTAATTTATGACATATTTCTGCTCAGACTGTGTACTAATCTGTCAGGTTTCCAATATTAAATGTCCCCCTCAATTGTAAACTCATTCCTACACCCTTGGCTGCTGGTTAGTTAACTCAGAAACACCATAAACAGGAGGATGCATTGGCAAGTGTTGTTTTTCAAACTATAAGAAAATTAATAGTAGAACTAATAAAAACTAAACTAAACTAAAACTAAGCATTAAACAAACAATAAAAACTAGCAAATCCACTCAAAAAACTAATTAAAAGTAACTGAATTCAAAGAAAAAAATCAAAACGAAGTAAAACTAAACTATATTATAACCTTGGTTCACTAATGGCACAGCAGTGGCAGTTTTGCAATTGGGACACCAAACAGACCTTTCATCGTGTGTCTGCTAATTTTTACATTTGTGCCTTCAACATTTAGTTGTGCATGTAGTGGTGTGTTTGATTGCTGCTCAGCTGTGGTGCATTTACTGAGAGGGAAACTAAAAAAAAGAGAGATTTTTGGAGCGTTCGATCTGCCAGTTAGTCAAGCTTAAACCTTCCAGTGTTGATCATTAGCAGATTGATTGGTGCATCATTTAATAGTAAAAAAAAACTATTTTGCTTCTACTGCTAATGCTTTTTTTTTTTCATTGTGGCAACAATTGTGTTATCGGTTGTGATTCTGAATAAGGGTTGCATGGAAAACCGGCAACAGTTTAGTACTGATAGCAGTAGGACCAACAATCCTAATGCATAAAGACACTGCAGGGTAGTAAATTTGTAACTCCTTTAAATTTATACTCTCTTTTTACTGAGTGGGGGAGGGAACACCCATTAATTCTTCATCTAAATCTTTTATGAACAATCAGATCCAAACATATTGACATTTATATTTTGTGATAAACTGGTTTGACATTTGTCCACAACATTTTTAAATGCCAAGTCCCTTATGATCTTAATTTGAACATAATAATTAACAGCATTTTGATTAATAAACTGCTAGCCTACCGGGTCAATTTAAACACATTTTCTTTGTCACAGTTTTTATTAAATCTTTTTTTTGCAAACCTACATTTTAACCATTTATCGTGAAATGTAAGACTTTTAGCTTGTATTGTTTTATAGGAATTAAAATAAATCTTGTTTTCTTTTAAGCAGTTTTTACATTATTTTAATACTATCCTCAACTCATTTGTTTTCTCCACAGATAAGTCATGATCCCCATCACTGAGCTGCGGTACTTTGTGGACACACAGCCAGCGTACCGCATCCTAAAACCATGGTGGGATGTGTTCACCGACTACATCTCCATCGTCATGTTGATGATTTCGGTGTTCGGTGGGACGCTTCAGATCACCCAGGACAAGATGATCTGCCTGCCCTGCAAATGGGTCATCAATGAGACCTGCAAGAAGAATTTCAGTTCCAGCTCATCCACCTCATTGTTCTTGGAGCCTAAAGGGATCCAGTACGATCTAGACCGCCATCAGTACAACTATGTCGATGCAGTGTGTTATGAAAATAGATTGCACTGGTTCGCCAAGTATTTCCCCTACCTGGTATTACTTCATACCCTCATTTTTCTAGCTTGCAGCAACTTTTGGTTTAAATTTCCTCGGACTAGTTCTAAACTGGAGCACTTTGTGTCCATCTTGCTGAAATGCTTCGACTCTCCGTGGACAACCAGGGCTCTGTCCGAGACGGTGGTTGAAGAAAGCGATCCCAAACCAATGAGAACGAATGGCTCCATGGACCATCACAAGGCGTCTGTAATAAGTGAGGACGTTGAAGCAAGTGTTCCAATGCTTCAAAGGACTAAAACGCGCTTTGAGCAGGGCATTGTAGACAGAACAGAAACGGGTGTTTTGGACAAGAAAGAAGGCGAACAGGCAAAAGCACTATTTGAAAAAGTGAAGAAGTTCCGTATTCACGTGGAAGAAGGAGACATTGTATACAGGCTGTACATCCGTCAGACCATTATCAAAGTGTTCAAATTTATTTTCATAATCTGCTACACGGGGTATTATGTGCAGAATATTGAATTCAGTGTGGACTGTTCAGTAAATATAAAAAGCTTGACTGGTTATAGTGTGTATCATTGTGCTCATCCTCTCGCTACACTTTTTAAAATCTTAGCCTGTTTCTACATTTGCTTGGTTGTGGTCTATGGTTTGATCTGCATGTATACACTTTGCTGGATGCTGCGGCGCTGCCTGAAGAAGTACTCCTTCGAATCCATTCGAGAAGAGAGCAGCTACAGTGACATCCCGGACGTGAAGAACGACTTTGCGTTCATGTTGCACATGATCGATCAGTATGACCCTCTGTACTCCAAGCGCTTCGCCGTGTTCCTGTCCGAAGTTAGCGAGAATAAGCTGAGGCAGCTCAACCTCAACAATGAGTGGACGCTAGACAAGCTCAGGCAGCGGATAACCAAGAATTCTCAGGAGAAGTTGGAGTTGCACCTTTTCATGCTGAGTGGCATTCCGGATCCCGTGTTCGATCTGATGGAGCTGGAGGTTCTCAAACTGGAGCTCATCCCAGACGTTACCATCCCGCCAATCATCGCCCAGCTGGTCAACCTGCGTGAGATGTGGCTTTATCACACCCCGGCCAAAATCGAAGCTCCGGCCTTGGCCTTTTTACGTGAGAACTTGAAGTCTCTGCACATAAAGTTCACCGACATCAAGGAAATCCCTTTATGGATTTACAGTTTGAAGAATCTCAGCGAGCTCCATCTGACAGGGAACCTCAGCGCTGAAAACAACCGCTACATTGTCATCGATGGGCTTCGAGAGCTCAAGAGGCTCAAAGTGCTTCGTCTGAAAAGTAACCTCACCAAGCTACCTCAAGTTGTGACCGATGTGGGCATGCACCTCCAGAAGCTTTCCATCAACAACGAAGGCACCAAGCTGATGGTGCTCAACAGCCTGAAGAAAATGGTGAACCTCACAGAACTTGAGCTTATTCGCTGTGACCTGGAACGCATACCGCACTCAATCTTCAGTTTGCACAACCTGCAGGAGATCGATCTGAAGGACAACAACCTGAAGACCATCGAGGAGATCATCAGCTTCCAGCACCTTCATCGGCTGGTCTGCCTGAAGCTCTGGTACAACCAGATTGCCTACATTCCCATTCAGATTGGCACCCTGATCAACCTAGAAAAGCTGTATCTAAACAGGAACAAGATTGAGAAGATACCCAGCCAGTTGTTTTATTGCCGCAAGCTGCGCATTTTGGACTTGAGCCACAATAATCTAACCTGTATACCAACAGACATTGGCTTCCTCCAGAATTTGCAGTACTTGGCAGTGACAGCCAACAGGGTGAGTACTTGATTAATGTCTTTTCAATATCATTGTCTGTTTTTTATTTATTACATTTTTATTGTCAAACTTGAGTGTTGAATTTTAACAGTTGCTCATTATATTTTCCCTCCATTTTTCTTCGTTTTTGAGTAAAGATTGAGACCTTGCCGAATGAGCTGTTCCAGTGCAAGAAGCTTCGCACTTTGAACTTGGGCAACAACTGCCTTCAGTCTCTGCCGTCGCGTTTTGGAGAGCTGACGTCTTTGGCACAGCTCGAGCTGAGAGGAAACCGTCTGGAGTGTCTGCCTGTGGAGTTGGGAGAGTGCAGACAGCTGAAGAGGTCTGGTCTTGTTGTGGAGGAAGACCTGTTCAACTCACTGCCCACTGAGGCCAAGGAGCAGTTGTGGAAAGCTGACAAAGAACAGACTTGAACAGGTTTGTGATTTAAAACGATATATACAGTATACACAAACACCGAGCAGTTTGGGCTGTAAACAGGAAGAAAAAGCTCATGGCTTGAAGACCTACAGAAGTAGGACATGTTCTTGCTTCTAAAGACTGACAGTAAGGTTGGGCATCAAAAACCAGTAGTTTAATTAAACCAAAGTGCTAACTCTGGCAGCTGATGGTTGTATTTTGACCATTTTAACAAAGTGTTTCAGGCCAGTGCCATTATGATCAGAATCATTTGTTTACATTAAAGCTCCTCTTCTGTTGTGTAGAAAAATATTAAAGGCCCATACTTTAAAGACGACTACAAGTTGACTGTTTTACACTAAAGCAAAAATCATCTTTTGTTGGGTAAACACGTTTAAAAAACCAATTTTGTCCAGATGGTTGAACAGAGTTAAACTGCCAATTATTATTTTTGTTGTTAAGCATCTTAAGATGCTTTTGTATGTACAGTGTTAAACATGCACAAAAATTATAGGTGATTTCAAGGAACTTTGCAGATTTTGAGGTTGTGTTTTTTTTTTTTTTTTTGTATGTTGGCAGAGCAAAGCTAAAAGAAAAAGCCTACTGAGTTCACAAATGCAAGTGTCGTGTATGATGAAGCTGAATTTTGGCAGCATTACGACATGTGGAATTAGATTGTGTAAATGTGTGATTCTCAACTCTGAGGCAAGTTTGGCAGAGAAAATAGGTTGACGACCTTATTTTGCAGCAAATTGTGCGTTTGAGAGTTTGAGGAGCAGCAATATTTCCTCTTATTTGTCTCCTAACTTCTAGTGAACATTTTATAGATAAACATACCTGATACCAGTAACTACACAAGTATAATAATTCATATTCCAAAGGCATGTTTTTATTTTATTTTATTTTATTTTATTTTATTTTATTTTATTTTATTTTTGTATCTTCACCTTATGACTCCGGTTGTGCTCATTTCATTTTTACTAATAAGCTATAAGTTTTAAACTTACAAATATCGTCCAAGCGTTTGTTGGATAAAGATATTCGTACTTATTTGGAAATTATTTCCTTGATAACCAGGTTCAGGTTGTGTGTATTAGTACTTCAAAGTTATTTTTCCTAAAGTTAAAATCAGAAAGTAATATATTTCATTCCATACAGTGAGTTTTTGGGTTCATCTGCAACTTAAAGTCTTACAATTAATGTTGATAATTTTCTATTTGAAGTGTGTTCGTTTTTATAGGAACTGGTGACTGTTTGTTTGTGCTTGAAGGAAACTTTTTTTTTTGGCAAGGGTTTTGACACAATGATAAAATTGTTGCACACATTTTAGCAGCACTTTTTGGTTCTTTACCTTTAAAAAAATATTCATTTTTTAATGTAATTCCAGGTGTTAACACCTGGACAGTAGCAATACACAGTATTATAACCAGACTGAAACTTATAGAAATACATGAAGCTATGAGCGTCTACATTAAAAGCATGTTTTACTATTCAGTACTGTGCAATATTGCCGTCATTTAAACTCTATGAAGGCCTGTAGTGTTATAATTTTCTAATGTGCATCAGCATTCCTTTTGTCACAAAACATTTTACTACCAGCAAATTAAGAATTTGAAGAAAAGTAGATGATATAGATTTTTTCAGGCATGGAGGAAGCTTTTGCACTACAGCACCTTTCCTTCAAGTTGTGCAAATGCAGCAGTGGTCTGCATGTTATGTATACACCATGTAATTGTGTATATTTTTTTTTTGTCCTGGCGTTTGAGCACTGCCAGCTGTAAGATTAAAGTGGCATTCTAGAAGTAGTATTTTTTTATTCTTAAAATCAACTCCTTTTTCCATCGTGTTCAACAACTCAGCATGTTAGCAATAGATGTCTTACACTTGGACAATCAGCATTTCTAAAATTGACAGAAAAAATCTAATTTCAAGATCAGTTTTACTAAAAGGTGTTGCTTAGCTTGCAGGTGAAGTGATGTCTGTAAGTAGGCCAGGTTTTTTTTATTAAAATATTAAATGTGCCCACATTTTCTTAATATTAAACTTTTATTTCAATTGTGAAAACTATACATTTTATAGTACAGCTAAATCTCTCAGGAAACCAGCTAGTGTCCATTTTTTCCTCTTTTTATGGTTGCCTATGTTTTTATTTTATTATTATACATGGTATTTGTATTAATTGAAACCACTGAAATGACATTTTGTGTATTTCTATACTATTCCTATACTGCTGGTTTGAAACAAATGTTCTTGTAGTTTTTTTTATTTGTTTAAAAAAACATGGCGTTACTTCTGTATTCATAGGTCACCGTGTAATAATTAAACTATCACGAGTGTGTTATTTGGAGTCCCACAGGTTAGGTGTGTATACAGTTTGTTTGCATGATGATACTTTCTCACCACTACCTTCAATGTTTGATCGTTTAAATCAGTTCTGGGTACAAAATCATAATTGGTGTTCAACTAATTCACAAGGATAGGCCCATTTGGTTGTGTGTGTTTTTTTTTATACAAACGTTCAATAATAACACAGTAAAAGCAAAGCAATACTACTTACATGAACTGTGCAACGGTATTTATGTACTCGGTTTGAACTTACATTATGTTCTGTCTTGTGAATCGTCCACTAGAAACAATAAAATATATTTGGTTGGTTGAATTTGTTTTTGTTGTGCTTGTGTTTTTGTCAACACACCACTCGCCTGCTATGATAGATACATTATTCATGACCCTAGGAAGAAAATCACAACATCAGTGAGTATCCGATTAAAAAAGCATAAACAATAAAAATGAACGCAGTTGCATAAAATACGTTTCAATTTGGTTTTTGTCATAGTTCTGCTTTCACCTGGTAGTTTGCAAATAATTTGAAACTAGTTAGGTCAATTTGTAAAATGTTTTTATCAGTGATTGGAATGAAATAAAAAGCTAGATGTTCTTTGTTTATTCTCTATTTGCATTATATAGTATATTAATTAGCACATTTAATACATGTCCAAATGCTTACATACCAACCTGATAATATTAAATCGTTATACACAGCTTATGCTGTTGTTGTTGTTTTTTATTTATTTATTTTATTTATTTACATATGAAAGTGTTATACCGAGGACATTAAAAAGGCGGAACCATTAAACGATGGGTTCCCGTTGTAGCCGGACATGTTTGTCGTACGCACCTGAGCTCAGAGGCAACATTTGAAATGGTAAATTGTTGGTACAAATTTCATTAGGTTATTGTGAGAATTAAATAATATAACTGTTTCATACATATTGAACTGGTTTGTTTTCTTAAGTTGAGATTAATTTAGTCATGAAGCAGATAACTACGCGGACGTAACGTCGTCATTTGATTTGTTTGCTCTTTCAGCGAAGGAAAACGACGGATCCCTGCTAATAAAAAGGTTGTGACGCTTTGTTTTTGTGCTCCTTTTAGGCAGTTACTCTTCATACGGATCTCGGAGACATTAAAATTGAGTTATTCTGTGAACGCGCTCCGAAGTCATGTGAGGTAAGTTTCACATTAGATTAAACTTTTAGGAATAAGAGCGAAATCCGGAAGCATGCTGAATGTAAACACGCATATATGAGCTATTTATTTGAGGAGTGTTTATTACTGATGTGATTTTGGTTTCATTTTGCAGAACTTTCTTGCCCTGTGTGCCAGTGGGTTCTATAATGGTTGCCTTTTCCACCGAAACATAAAAGGCTTCATGGTTCAGACTGGTGACCCTACAGGTATGAGATGAGTATTTATAATCACTGTTTTCTATGTTTGTTTTTAAATCATAATTTTTATGAAAACATGTAGGCACCGGGAAAGGGGGAACGAGTATATGGGGCCGTAAATTTGAAGATGAGTTTAGCGAGCACCTAAAGGTGAGTAAAATGGATTTTGAAGGTCTATTTAAAATGTGTGTATGTTGTCAGGAATTATCGTTTATATCGTCCCTTTTAAAATGTGTGTTTTCCTATTTCAGCATAATGTAAGAGGAGTGGTCTCAATGGCAAATAATGGCCCCAACACGAACGGCTCCCAGTTTTTCTTCACATATGCCAAACAGCCCCATCTGGACATGAAGTACACAGTGTTTGGAAAGTACGTGACTTGTGCATCAGAGCAGTTTGAAAGTGAAGGACTCGTTATTAGTTAATGACTTATAAATAAGAGAATTTCACAAAGCTTTTCTGTTTTTACTTTTTAGTCTCACTTTATTTTGTCCCCACTTTTTTGTCCTGCAGGATTATTGATGGCTTGGAAACACTGGATGAGCTGGAGAAGCTGCCCGTGAATGAGAAGACCTTCCGACCACTGACCGACAACCGGATAAAAGACGTCACCATTCATGCTAACCCGTTTGCCGGATAGCTGCTTTAAATTTTTCAGAAAATCCGACACGGAACCGGTTATTTCCAAAAGGCCACTATACAGTGCACGGTGCCTTGCTTATGTTGAAGTGGATCACTTGTTTAAGAGGGAAGAAACATTTTTAGTGGACAAACTGATTTGTAAAGCTGCAGAGTGCTGAGTTAGAGAAAAAAGGAAGTCACTGACTGTGAAGTGGAAGCGGACTTTTGTAACTTGATAAAACATTCAGGGGAGTGCTTTCTCCAGTTTCTAGCTATCTACTCCTTTTAAACCCACAGTGATGTGACAGAAACTTGAAAACAAATGTATTCTCTATAGATGTATTCACAACTGAATCCAGAAATGAAACATGTTTGACATTTTTAAATGGCTGCCTTTTTTTCCCCTCATATATCTGCTGGTAAATACATTTTCAGTAATTTGTAATAAATAAACTTTTTTAAATATATATTTGTGTTGAATTAATTATTATGCTGTTTTTCATTTGTTCGCCGTCGTTATGCCACGTATGTTGTTTGAAAAAAATGGGTGGAATAGAATTTCTGTTAAGTTGTGATTTTATTATTCAACATCTTCCTGTCAAATTGTCACATTTTCATCAGAAAGTGTTATTATATTGGAAAATGTTATACAATCACAATTTTACTCCACATAACTCACCAGTCTGGAACTGGACTCTGTACCACAGAGCAGACAGTGTCCCTACAAACCCAGGAGCCAGGGAGAAAGAGAAATCATACACACGACAGGCCCTGGAGCAGTGTGGTTATCCTGACTGGGCTTTCCTGAAAGCAGACAGGAAACACAGACAGGATTCCATGCAACCTTCAGGTGAAAATGAAGACCCCAAACCCAGACCCAAACCAGTGGTTATTCCGTATGTTGCGGGTGTTTCGGAGAAACTGAGACGTTTATTTTCTAAACATGATGTCCCAGTGGCTTTCAAACCCCAAAACACATTACGGCAAAGGCTGGTTCACCCCAAAGATCCGGTGCCCCGGCACAAACAGAGCAATGTTGTATATGCTGTTAAGTGCCAGGAGGACTGCGACCAGTTATACATCGGGGAAACAAAGCAACCACTGTTCAAAAGAATGTCCCAACACAGACGAGCTACATCTAATGGCCAGAACTCTGCAGTTTTCACTCATTTACAGGCCAGCGGTCACTCTTTCAGAGATGAGGATGTTCTCATTCTTGATAGGGAGGAACGTTGGTCTGAGAGAGGAGTAAAAGAAGCCATTTTTGTGAAGAAAGACTGTCCATCATTAAACAGAGGTGGAGGCCTCCGTTTTCAGTTGTCCCCCTCCTACAGCGCAGCCATTGCCAGAATCACTCCACCCCCTGTTAACAATAAGTGTTAATTAGGTGTCAACGATAGCCATGTGATGTGAGTATCAGTCACATGGAGGCAGGGCTTAAAAGCCTGAATTTTGCCTGAAACTCTCAGACTGAAGAAGTCTCTTGGAGGAGAGACGAAACGTTTCATTAGAGAAGAACCCGTCCAGAAGACTTATACAATTTTTTTCTTTTTGATTTTTTACCTGGATTACTGAGATGCATCAGGACCAGTCTGGAACAATCGCTACATTACTGTTAAAAACAAATCAACATTTAATAAGGATTGGATGGGAAAAGGGATTTGGTCTGTGTTACATTTAATTAACAGTAATGGCTGCTTGTTATCATATGATACTCTGTGTCAACAGCTTAATCTAAAAACAAATCAAAAAACTTATCAAAGCCATTCCAAAAGCTGTCTTATGTTTAATTGCAGGTTCATTGGCTTATTCACCTWTTGTTCCATGTTTACCACAATTATTAATTGGAAATTACTCTTTCAAACATTCCAAGTTTTCCAATAAAATTATTCGACACACTTTCGATCATATTATTTATCTCACCCTGCCATTTAAAAACTCCATTCGTCAAAATTTTCCACCACAATCAATCCATAAATTACGCACTAAATACCTCAAATTTCCAATTGCACCAAGATACAAAGAAATCCACTTTAAAACTTTAAATGGAATATATCCATCTAATTATTTTATTCATCAGAGGTTTGGTATTGAAACAAATAATTGTGTGTTTTGTGATGATACTGACAACAGAACATTTATTCTTTCAATGCATGTATGTTGAAACATTATGGTCTGATATGTTTGACTGGTTATTTCCCAAAGTTCCCAGTCTCCAAATGTTCTCCAAAAACTATATAATTTATGGACTTATTATGGGCAATAACAACAGTGACTTTCTCATCAACACTATTATCATTCTGGGGAAAGTTTTCATCCATAAAGCTAAATATCTTAAGGTTAAACCAAATTTCTATCATTTTCACAATGACTTTATTTTGTACTGCAATCCTCTTAAAGTGATGCACACTAAACATGCCCACAATCTGTGCTCTTTAATTGAAGAGTATGATTTAACATCTAAACCCCAGCCTTTTTTTGTTCCTTATTTTTAAACTTCTTATCTTTATTTGCACCCATCCTTTTCTCTTATATGCAAGTTTGTTTGTTTGAAATACGCCTTATTGTTTGTACATTGTATTATTTTGTGTTCTTTGTTGTTTAATAATAAACAAAAAAAATTGTTCGCCGTCGCATCTAATGACGTCATTGCAGTAGACAGGAAGTGCTGTATTGGGGCTCTGGACTGATTGGTCGTCCCCACTATTGGCCAATGGAGACAGACGTCGTCACACGGCGGCCATCTTGGTACAGACAGCACTCCCACTCAACATGAACGTGAATGGTGCTTTACTATTAAAATACACATAACTTCATCGGATTTTCAAACGGATAGTTTTGTTGTAAATGTGAGACATGGTGTTATAAAATGACATACTTATAATGGGCATTCATATAAAAATAACGTTATTCAGTTAGGAAAAGTAATAGCAATATGTACAGAGAAGACATTTAGATTATTTTACATGTTTTTACAAATAAAAATATAAAGCAAAACCATACAAAAATTTATATACAAACAGTACTAGCATTGGTAATGAATATGGAAGAACGCATTTATAGCTATTTTTCCCCTAAACATGCAAATAATAGCCTGTAAAACCTTTTTACATCATAAAAAAATAGTGCCTCACACAGAAAAATAAAATAAAATAAACACAGTACACAGAGGTTTGTAGTAACTAAACATAATAGAGTAAATTTGAGGCAATATACATATTTTCTTTTAAATAAATTGATCAATTTACTTGGTTTAGTGGAACCAGTTTG